CAGGCGCTGTCCCCAGGCCCAGCGCTAGGTGGCGCCCGGCCCGCGCTCCGAGCCCGCGCTCCGCTAGCCCACGTAGGGCCGCCGAGGCCGAGGCCGGCCTTGCAGCCCCGGGCTGGGCGTGCTAGTCCCTACGCGCCACCCTCTGACTTGGCGGTCGTGAAGCCCACTGGCTGAGAGCCCTCCACTCAAGGTGGCTCTAACCGCTTTGTCCCGGGACAGCGGAGGCAGCTCCGTGAGGAGCGAGCGGGGAGGACACCGAGGCCCAGAGCGGGAGGGGTGGGCAGTGCCGGGCTGAGCCTCCAGCCAGTCCGTCATCGCATGGCCGCCTGTCCCTGAGCCACCCTGGTCTTCCCCTGGGCCTGGCTAATCTCTCCTCCACAGGAAGCCTTCCTGGACTTACTCGCCACCGGGTGGGGCCCAGCTGTGACCCGTTCCCCTCCCCCCATCCTAGTGTCTTCCTGCACCCTCGGTGTGAACTGGACAAGTAGGAGACGTCCTGTGGCTCGTCGCTAGGACCTCCTCACCCAAACTAGCCAAGGGCCAGCACGCGGCAGGAGAGGCCGCGGGGCTGGGTGGGGAGGGGGGGGAGTAAGATGCACTGGTGGACGGCAGCGAGAGGGCTTGGCTTACCTGCGGCTCCACAGGGGATCTGGAGCAGCCCACCAGGGTCACACCTGGAAACCTGCCACTCCCCAGCCAGGTGGGGCGAGAGGATGATGAAGGGGAGGCCGCAGAACCTACTGGAGGTGTCTGAACGTAGCTCACTCCCCACAGGGCCGGGATCCCCATCGTTCACCTGGAACCCCACACTCAGTCCCCACCAGGGGGCGCTGCTTGCCCAGAACGCTTCCTCCATGAACCCATCAAGGCCGCATGGGGCTTCTAGCGTCCATGGACTGGCACAGGCCTTGGTCTCTGGTGTGTCTCCATGTCCCCTCCTATGGACACTGAGTCTCCTGTGTTCCCTGCCCTCCAGGGTCCCACAGACCAAGGCAACAAAGACCACTGGTGGCCTCAAGGTTCTGTCCTGCCGGTGCCGGGGCCACATGCAACTCACCACACTGGACCCCCCTCACCCTGGCTTCTCCCCAGGACAGTCTTCTCCAGTGTCAGGGCCGTGAAGACCTGGGTGGGAACCCTGAGGCCGTGACCCAGGCAGCTGGTCCCCTTTGAGCCCCCGGGGAAAGCAGAACCTTCTGGGACCCCAGTGGCTGCTGTTCCTTCCACTCCGGTGACCCTTTCTCCCCGGGGGACAAATGACAGAACCCAACCAGGAAGGCTGAGGACACCAAGCTGCCCAGAAGCCAAGAATGACAGGAGGCAAGAAAGCACGTAGCAGGGGTTCCAACCAGACATCTCTCTTTATTTTTTGGAAAATACGTCTGCCAGGTTAACAAAAGCAATCTGCCGGTTTGGGCCGACACCTTTGGCCACGACATGGCTGAGCCCCGAGATCAGAGACCACCCCGACCACCTGCCCTGCGGTGGCCAGCCCATGAGCACAGGGACAGCCACCCAGACGCGGGGCCTGTTAACAGTACAAAAAGTAACAAAACAGAACGCACGAATTTCTCTCCCAAGTTTTGAAAGGTAGCAGCCCAGGCAATAAAACGTCGAAAGCATTGCGTAAGAAGTGTTAAGTCTACATCAAATACGTCTTGTAAAAACTCAATAAATTATATATATAGATATATATAAACTTGTAACATCTAATAACATCTGAACCTGCGTGCAGGGCCAGCCTCCTCGCTGGAAACTGCCCACACCCAGAACAGGCGGCAATTAGAACCTGTATAAAAATCCCAAGGCATCTTGAAGTCCAAAAAATAAATCTCCTAAAGAAAAATCCTGTAGAAATCTAAGTCCCCTGCAAAAGAAGGCCAAAGGAAATAAAATATCCTCCCTGGAATCACTTCAAACAAATGATCTTTTAGGGTGCGAGGGGGCCGGCTCTGGCCCGGGGGGCAGGCTGGCGGCAGGGGACCCAGCGCCCACCGCCGTTGCAGGCGTGTTCTCGCAATCCCTGTAAAAGCGGCATAAATTTTCTCAGCTGTTAATAAGTTAAAACTTCAATCTCTCTGCCGTTGGCTGACTAAACCTATGAACATGGCGTGGGTGAGGACTTGAGGATCGATAAATAGCTTTACAAATATACAGTCCAGGTAACAATTTTTAAAAACAAAACTGTGATATCAGATAATCGGCTTATTCTTGTATCTGTGTCACCCACGGGGGTCTCACCCGCTGGGGCACCCCCTCCTGCATCCCTAGGGTCCTGGGCCTCCGTTGTACCTGCCTTTCCTTTTTCCATATAGATATTTATATATATATTTGTATGTATATAGTTTCATATACATGGCATTTATTTATATAAATGTACACGCACTTTTGCAACAAACCTTTCAGATAGAAGTAAAGGCTCTGCTGCCTTCAGGTACCCGTAATTTCAGTCTCTGGGGGACGGGGTGGGAAGTGGGGAGGCCTGGAGGTTGGGGGGCTGCTCACTGACACCTCCCACCGCAGGCACAAGGTGGCACTTGGCAGGAGGCTTGACTCACTAGAGGGGCTGCCCTGCAGGCTCAGCATGGGCAGGGGAGGGGCTGAGGCCCACCATGGATGCCCACCCCAGCCTGTGATGTCCCCTGTGGGATGGCAGTGGGGGCAAAGGAGCAGTCTGGCCCAGCTCCCCAGCTCAAGGGGCTCCACAAGGAACCCCCTGACATTCTCCATTTGGTCACCCAGAATGAAGGCCCCTGGGTGCTACAGGCACAGATGGTGCTGGGCACAAGGGTCTTATACAGCAGCGCAAGACTCTCTCTCTAGCACACACACACACCCACACACACACAGGTGTTGTCTGTCCGTCCATCCATCCGTACTGGGGCCCAGGCCCGGGCCACTGGGCCCCATGGTAACAGCACAGGCAGTGGCCATCAGGGGACCAGGTCTCACATTGGCGGGGACTCAGTCAGGCGGCCCTTCACGTCCGTGGGGCCCCGCTGCTGGGGGGCGCTGGCAGCAGCAGGTCATGGGCAAACACGGAATCGTCACCTGAGGAGCTGGAGCTGGGCGTGTCCTGGCCGCCAGGCGAGTACTGCTCAAAGGGCACCGACAGGTCCAGGTACTCCTGTGGGCAGGGGGCTGTCACTGCCGCCCTGCGCCCCCCTTCCCGTCACTTCCCCTGGCCCAGGCTGTGCCCCAGAAGGCCTGTCTCCCCCTCTGCCCCGCGCTGTTCCGAGCCAGCGTGGGGCCCCAGGGCCCGGCACTCACGTCGGTGGATGTCACAGTGAGCACACGGTCCAGGTCCTCCACCAGCTGCTTGAAGGTGGGCCGCTGGGAGGGTACGGCGTGCCAGCACTCCCGCATGATCATGTACCTGCGACAACAGGACGCTCAGCCACCCCACGTCCCGCCTGCAGGCCTGGGTCCCCACGTTCACTCAGGAACGGCCTTGGCGACACCTGCGCCCTCACCCTGCCTTGATCTGCCCACCCCACCAAGACAGGCCATGGGGCGGGTGGGGAAGGCGGAGCTCACAGGTCGTGTGTGCAGTTGGCCGGCTTGTCCATGCGGTGGCCTTCCTTGAGCAGCTTGAAGAGCTCCTCCACGGGAATGCCGGGGTACGGAGAACCCCCCAGTGTGAAGATTTCCCAGAGCAGGACGCCAAAGGACCAGCTGCGGGAGAGGGCCGCGGTGCTGTCAGTGAGACCGCCCCCGGAGCCACCCCATTAGGACGAGGCTGAGCCCTGACGGGGGCTGGCAAGGATAGTGGGGTTCTGCCCTGGCCCCCAGCCCCCTGCCCCCCAGCATGCCCCACACAGCTCCCCCTTCCCACAGGACCCTGAGGCCTGGAGGGGACACATACACGTCACTTTGGTGGGTGTAGACTCGGTCAAACAGGGCCTCGGGAGCCATCCACTTCACAGGCAGCCGGCCCTGGGGGTGGGGAGGGTATGTTGGGCTGTCAGTTGGCCTCTGGGCCAGGGGCCCTGCCTGCCCACCCCCCGCCCTGCCCCCCGCCCCCCTGGGGCTGGGCTCACGTTGGTGGTCTTCTTGTAGTAGTCCAGATTGTGGACGTCCCGGGCCAGGCCAAAGTCAGCAATCTTCATCACATTGTCCTCTGTCACCAGCACGTTGCGGGCGGCCAGGTCCCTGTGGATGCACTGGGGGCAGGGAGCAGGGACTGAGGCCATCCCCCATCAGCCCCGGCCCAGCCCCTCCCCAGGGGCAGCCTGCTCTGGCTCACAGCCAGCTGCCACCCTGGGGTCACCCCCACTTCCACGCCCGCTCACCTTCTGGGAGGCCAGATACTCCATGCCCCGTGCCACTTGGTAGGCACAGGACACGAGGTCCTTGAAAGTGAGCTGCTCCTCGGGCAGCTTGCAGGTGTCGAAGGAGTAGTCCATGCCGGGGGGCCTCCGCGCCCGGAGGTACTCTCGCAGGTTGCCCTTGGCCGCGTACTCCACCAGCACGTACAAGGGCCCTGCAAGTGTTGAGCGTCAGACGCGGCCAGGGTCCGGAAAGGGGGAGTCCCTGGCCACCTGCTGGCTGTGGGGGAAGCCAGGGTTGGGAAGAAGGAGACATCTATCTGCTACCGGCCCCAGACACTGGGCAGCCCCGCTCCAGCCCACCCGCCCGCCTGCCCGCAGAGCTTACCACCCTGAGTGCAGGCCCCCAGACACTGGGCAGCCCCGCTCCAGCCGCCTGCCCGCCTGCGGCGCTTACCGCCCTGCATGCGGGCCCCAGACACTGGGCAGCCCCACTCCAGCCTGCCCGCCCGCCCGCCTGCGGCGCTTACCGCCCTGCATGCGGGCCCCCAGACACTGGGCAGCCCCGCTCCAGCCCGCCCGCCTGCCTGCGGCGCTTACCGCCCTGTGTGCAGGCCCCCAGCAGGTTGATGATGTTCTTGTGTTTGCCGATCATCTTCATCATCTCCATCTCTGACACCAGGTCCGAGAGGTCCTTGTCTGTGGCGTCGTCTGCTCGGGGAGAGAGGGGTGTCAGTGCCCTCCTCCCCGCCCCCAGCATGGACCCAGGTGCCCCCCGCTGGCCCTCACCTTTCAGCATCTTCACAGCCACAGTGACAGGCTTGGCGGCCCGCTCTTTGTCGATGCCGATGGCCTCCGCCATGACCACCTGGCCGAAGCAGCCCTCCCCCAGGGGCTTGCCCAGGGTCAGCCTGGCGGAAGCAGCAGGAAGCAGGGATGAGCACTCCTGCACTCACCGCCCCTCCACACTGTGCTCCTGCCTCTCCTCCTCCCCAGTCTCGCCTTCCAGGCCCAGTGCCACCACCTCCGGGAAGCCTTCCACACTCAGCTCTGCTCGTGAGATGAAGGACATCGCCCCTTGGGCCTCCTGCCCTGTGGCCTCCAGACAGGGCCCCTATCTCAGGGGGACCTCCCGCTGGCCTGACCTTCTCCACGAGGTCCCAGCCCCATATCTACATCCTCCATGTCCCCTGAATCCTAGCTGACTCCACCCCAACCCTGCCACAGGACCCCACCCTGTATGTGCGCACACACCCAGGCCAGGCCCCACAGCCTCACACATGCTGTTCTTGTTACCACCTGCCCAGGTGCCCCTCAAAGCCCTGTGTGCACCCCCCACAGGCACCCTCACTGACCGGGCCCGGGACAGCTCCCACTTGGGGTCGGCAGGCAGCTCGAGCTCTGAGACGTTGGCCAGCGTGGGGCCCTCCCCCGAGGACAGCCTGGCCATGCGCACCAGTGGCGTGTTGGAGTTCATGGACGAGTTGGACTCCAGGGACACCTGCTTGGGTCGGCAGGGCCAGGTTGGTGCCGTGGGGGTGCACAGTGGGGGTGGGGCAGGCAAAGGGCTAGGCGGGCAGGAGGCGGGGCACTGGGCCAAGAAGGGGAGCGTTCAGACCTCCGGGCAGTGTGAACTGAGTATTTTTTAAGAATTGTTTTGTGCCTCAAAGAAATGGGGCCCCATGTACTGAACACGGAGGCCAGGTGGACCATCTCAGCTGTGAGGGGCTGAGGAGTGGGTGCAGGGGGTGGCGGGCCCTGGGCTGGCTCAGAACCTGGTATCTACTTTCTGTTACCTGTCGCTTGAGCGGGAAGCGGGAGACCTTGTGCACGGCAGGCGAGCCCAGGCCTTTTTTGGTCGGGCTGTGCAGCCGGCACAGCGTCACGGCCACCACCACCATGATGAAGAAGAAGAAGCCTGCCCCGTAGCTGAGAACGCCCGCGTACACACTACTCGCCTCGTCCGCCTCCACCAGCTCCTCCTCAGCTGCAAAGACATAGGCGTTGGGGCCGGCCCACCACCCACTGCCCTCACTGCAGCTGGAGCCCTGGGCACCAGTGGGGGCTTGGAAGGGGGCTCAGCCCCCTCGTGGGGACCAGGGCTCCTGGGGGGCAGGGGGACCGAGGCCTCAATGCCTCCACTCGGTCAAGTTGGAAATGCCTGTGAGCAGGGAGGAGGCAGACCCAGAGAAGAAGCCGAGCAGCCAGTAGCGCCCACACCGCCACCCAGGCACCCAAGAGATGCCAAAGCCGCCGGAGCAGGGCTGCTGGGGGCCCAGTGGGACAGTGGGGGGCTTAAGAGGAGGCACCCGTGGAGCCAAGACAGGGTTCTGGAAGGAAAGGAGCGGCCTCGAGCCGCTGGGGTCCCCCGCCTGTGCCCGGCGGCTGTGGCATGTCCCCAGGCAGTGTCCCACACCCGAGAGGGCAGAGCAGAGCGAGCAGCATCAAAGGAGCCAGTACCTGGCAGCACCACCAGCCACGCAGAGTGATGGGAAAACCCGATAGAATTGCCAGCCAGACACGTGTACTCCCCCGCATCCTCAAACGTGACATTGCGCAAGGACAGAACCTCTAGCTCCTTGTCGGTGGTGTTAACGCCTGCCGTCTACAAAGAGAGAACAGAGCGCGATAGGCGAGTGCCAGCACCCCCACGGGCTCCACAGCCGAGTCCACGCGGCGACGATCCAGCCAGGCTGCAAGGAAAACGCCGCCGCCACCACCGCTGCCGCGGCCGCCGCCTCCTCCGGCGCCGCAGGAGCCCGAAGCCAAGGCCCTCCACCGGCGAGAGTCCTCTGTCCCAAGTGAGCGGCAGGCGTGCGGCCAGGAGCGCGACACGCAGGTGCAACATGCAGAGTTAGGAGTTAGCGCGGTGACTGGGGATAGGGTGCAGGCGGGCGGGCGGACAGAAGGACAGACAGACAGGGAAGTGAGCAAGCAGCAGAGCTGGTGGCTGGAGAAAGAGATGGAACGGCAAACGCTCACAAACAGTGTGGGGCGAGGCCTCTGCTGGTGCCAGGAGCTTCCTGGGAGAGCGTGGGGGTGGGGAGGGTCTGTGCTGGCCACGGTGGTTTGAAGGGGTCTTGGGCGCGCTGAGGCGAGAGGAGCCAGCGCTCAGGAGGTGGCCACCATCAGGAGCAGCGAACGGCGCAGGGGTGGGGGGAGCGAGCGACACGAGAGCGGGCATGCGGGTGGGCGAGCGTGAGGGCAGGCGCGTGGCCAGGGCATTGGAGCCAGAGCTCGGCGTGCCAGGCAGGCGTGGGACAGAGTCGTTACCTGCTGGGGGCCCGTGAACACGCAGCCAAAAGGCCTTCTCGGCCACGCCTATGAAATTGGTGGCTCGACAGAGATACTCGCCCCCGTCCCGCTCGGACACATTGGCCAGGCGGAGGCGCGCGTCGGCCTCCGCACTCTCACTGATCCAGGACTGCGGGGACAAGAGACCCGGCTCAGGCGCGCCCCCGCGGCTGCCCGCGCGAACCCAGGCTGGGCTGCGGCGGCCACGGCCGGGTGTGAGTGCAGTGGGGGGCGCGAGCCCGGCTCCAGCCCCAGCTATCCTCGCCCAGCACGCCACGCTAACGCTGCCCTAGTTCCCGAGACTCTCTGCAGGCTCCTAATGAGGCAGGAGGTGGGAGACTCCTGAGGAACAGGGGTGGGCGCCAGGTATGGCCGCGACCCGGAAGGCCGCCTAGAAGAGGTGTGCAGGCAGGTTTTGGTCTCACAGTAGGAACATTTTCTGCGTCCTCACCCCACAACTCAGATCCAGGCCCTGGGCAGAGATCCCCCAAGAAGACTGTCTGCATGGGGTGGGAGCTGCTCCCGGCCCACCCTGCCGTGCCCACCCGAGGTCTCGGCTAGGCCAGCCGCAATGCCGTCCAATGCCATCTGGGCCAAGAGCACCCATGTTCACATGTGTGCATGCATATGAGGCACCAGCGTCAATGGCACCCCCTCCCCATGCTGTTGGCCTCTCCTGCTCGGCCCGAAGTGACTGCTCCCACCCCGACTGCCCGTTTTGTCTCCAGCAGATGTTTCTCTTTGAGCTCTCAGTGTCGCAACCTTCCCCACGCGGCAGCCCCCACCCCGTGCGGCCATGGGAACAAGGCTGACGCCGTCCCAGCCCAAGGGAGGCGGGTAGGGTGAGGAGCCCACACCGCCCTCAGACACAGTGCATGCTCCACTGGGGCCGGCTTTGGGAGCGGCCACCCAGTCCCCTTACTCAGTGTCCCCTCGACCAGGGCACTGCTGCAGAGGGGGCTGGGAAGGCCCTCCGGCCACCCTCTGGCCACCCTCCAGCCTGGGTGGCCATCTCGGTTACCAGGCCTCCAAGATGCTGAGCCCAGCCAAGCCCAAAGGCCTGGGATTACAACTCAGCCCACCGCCATGTTGTGGGCCTTCAACAGGCTGAGGCCGACTCTCAAGAGCAGAGAGGGAAACTGAGGCCCCAGTACAGTGTCGAGCACGCTGGGACTTGAACCCCAGCCTCCCCCAGCAGCGGCCTCTTTGCACCCCAGGCCCAGACTCCCAGTACTGCTCCCCCATGCTTTGTCCCCTTGCCCCGGCGGGTCCCCACCTTGAGCACGGTGACGTAGGGTGTGCCGTCGGGGCCCACCTTGCTGCCGTTCACCTCCACGTGCTTGAGCCACTGGATGTGGGGCTGCGCGTCACTGTACACCTTGCAATGGAACTCCACGTCGCTGCCCAGCACTGCTGTCTGGTTGGCTGGCAGCCCTGCCTGCAGGATGGGCCGGTGCGGGGACCGCTCTGTGGGTGCAGATGGGGCTCAGGGGCTGCCCGGCCACGCCCACCTGCCCACCGGCCGGCCTGCCCGCCCACCTGTGAGCCCGAGCCTCACCCAGCACGTCCAGCGTGTATGTCTGCCGGATGCTGCCGAACTTGTTCTCCACGACACACGTGTAGTTGCCGCGGTCGGAGGGCACCACGCTCTCCATGACCAGACTCCACTGCTGGTGCCGCAGCTGCGGGGTGACACGTGGGGTGAGCAGGCGGCAGCGTGGCCCACGGGGCCAGGGCAGAGCCTGGGCGGGCACCTACCCGCCGCCCAGCTCACCTTGATGCCCCCAATACGGTGCTCGCCACGGAATTCCTTGCCGTTCTTCAGCCATGAGATGGAGGGTGTGGGGTTGCCAGCTGCCGGGCAGCGGAAGCGGACGGTGTTGGCGGCCGGCACAGCCAAGAGCTTTTTGTCCATGCGCTCAGGCCGCGTCCAGTAAGGGGCCCCTGCAGGCAGAGGGGGGCACGAAGGCCATAATCTCACCACCTGCAAAAGCTGCCCACCTCTCTGGCCTCAGTTTCCCTTCCGGCATAGGGAGTTGTTGGTAGGTGCCATTGAGTCATTTCCGACTCAGCGACTCTACGTACGACAGAACGAAACACTGCCCGGTCCTGCACCGTCCTCACGGTCACTGTTATGCTTGAGCTTTTGAGGGCCCCTGCTAGGGCTAGACGAGGCTCCCAGCAGATTTGGCACCATGTGCCAAATCCCCCAGGGCACCCCTGGAGCTGGCCCCTCCGGCCGAGTGTCCCCTCCCCTGCCATCTCCTCCTGGGTAGGGGTCCAAATCACCCCACCTTGGCCTGGATGACTTTGGGGCACAGGGTGCCCCCCAGGCAGGCCCACAGAGGGGAGCTGAGGTCACCTCAGCTTGGCCACCGATGCGCTGTGTGTGGCCTCTGGACCCAGCCGACAGAGGCCAGGCCCAGGGAAGGACCAGGCCGCCCAGGTCCTGCCACCCAGCTGGGTGGACGAGCCAGGGCAGGCCCTGGGAGCAGATCACCAGGAGGCTGGACAAGACCCAGCCATCCATGGGAGCGGCCGCAATGGCAGCAGCCCGTTAGATTTCTGCCGAGACCCTCAGCTCACCCTGGCGGCGCACTGGGGCACCATGGTGGGGGCAAGTGATGATGGCCCCACCTGCCCCCTCCGTTCCCGGCGTGCAGGGCAGTCGCACCACCCCCACCCTCATGGCCCAACTGGTTTTCCTCCTTCCTCTGGGCTGGGTAGAAGCTTCCTTCATGCTGGAACTCATGTGGAAGGAGGGTGGTGGGCGTCCCCAGGGAGTGAGGCAGCAGGGGTGCAGCGGGAGAGGGCTTGGCCCTTCGGCAGGGAGGAGGACTCTCCCCACTGGGACCACACAGCCAGGGCCACCCATCAAACAGAGGACGCTGAGCCCGGGGGGTGGGGTGCACTGTGGATGCCACTGGGAAAGGGCACTTTCTAGCGCTTGCAGCTCCCCTCCATGTTTCCAAGGCTGGGGTGGGCAGAGAACCCAAGGGTGGCCGAGTGAGAGCCTGGGGGGCTCCCCAGGACTGGCAGTCATGCTAGGGGCCATTTCCCAGGGGCCAGCAGACTGTGCTGACTCAAAGCTGCCTGCTGTCGGGTGGAGACTTCTGGAAGGTGGCCCTGCCAGTGACACTCGGAGCCCCTGAGCCCATACAGGGCAGAAATGCCAAACACTGGCCTCAAATGGGCAGGCCAGGCCTGGGGAAAACAGGAACTCAGGGTCGGGCACACTCTCGGGAAGGCATGAAGGATCGTGTGGACGGGGGAGGGGGACGGCTGTGGCCGCTGAACCGGAATCTGGCTCGGAACTTCCTGGCAGCCAAAGAGAAAAGGGAAACGTGGAAGAGCCCAGCAGCTCCCTGGGGACGCAGGGCATTTCCCGAGCTTGGTCCTGGAGGGAGCCCTTTCCCCGGCAGCTCCTACCTGGCCACTGCATCCCCAGAGACCTCACAAGCCCCCAGTGCCCTGCTCTTGTCCTCGGGCCCCTGTTCTCCCGGTTTCCTGCCCCGCTCCATCTCCCTGGTCGAGTCTCTGTGCCCACTGGATCCCAGAAGGGAGGAAGCAGTGCCGAGCGCAAACAGAAGGCTTGGTCCACATGCCAGCAACTCCTGTGTTACACCGGGGTTCCCTCCAGGCACACGTCCACCCCACACTGACCCTTATCTGAATGTGGACATCCACTGGCATCTCAAACGTGGCTCCTCCAGACCAGATACCCCAGCTCCCTGCCTGTCTCCTCCACTGCTTCTGGCACCGGAGCACTGTCCCCACCTGCTCTGGCACTCACCCCACCTGTCGGAGACCACGGCTGGTGCTGCCTTCACAACACGCCCAACCAGGCGTCCCTGACCCCACAGCCCCATCCTCTCCCGTCTGGACCATCGCAGCTGCCTCTGCTACCCTCACGCCCACGGTCACTCACCCCACAGTGGCCAAGGGCCTGGTGAACACCTGAGCCCCCATGCCCTGTTCTACGCACACCTAAAATGGCTCCAGCACACCCAGAGTCAACGTCCACACCTTCAGAGCACCCATGGGCCTCACTGCCCCAGACCCAGCTCCACTGGCCTTCTCACCCCGTGCCTCAGTCTCCCCATCTGCAGTATGGGTCACCTTCCCACTCCTGGCCTGCCACCGGGGCCCAGGGCTTGGCAGCCAGGACTGCCCCAGACAGCCTGTACCTGGGGAGGGGAGGGTTTGGCAGGTGGTCCCCGAGCCCTGCTCAGAGCCAGCCCCCCACCAGCCCTCTGTGTGCCTGAGGCCTGGTCTCACCTGTGTCCTCAGCCTCGTCCTCCCCATCTTCATCGTCTCCCGAGGATGGAGCATCTGCCAGGCAGGAGAGCGGGGGCATGTGGGTGGTGGGCCCATGAAGGGCAGTCACCTGTCACCTGTGCCCACACCCGCCACTTCTCAGCTTTGAAGCTGAGTGTCTTCTCCCTCCCAGCATCTGTCTCTGGCCTGCCCAGGGGGCCCTCATGGGTGGGGCCGGAGCCCCCATATTCAGACAGCTCTTCCTGGGGCTGGGCCCTCCTCTCGGCTTCAGCACCCCAACCGGCAAGACACTCAGCAGGCGCATTGCAGCCACTGCCTGGAGACCCCGTGCCCATCAGCCTCTCTTGTGGCCACGCCACCCACTTGGGGAAGCTCAGCCAGCCCAGCCCCCTCCACCTGGCCGGAGCTTACCTGTCACCCGCACGCTGAAGTGGCACAGGACGTGCTGGGTGAGCCGCTGCTGGCAGCTGTAGGCACCGGAGTCCTCGTGGGAGGCGTTCAGCACCTGCAGCCTCTGCAGCCCCACCAGGATGCGGTCCGAGGGCACCAGCCCTGAGCCGTCCTTCACCCAGATGGTGGGTCCTGGGACACTACCCGTGGGTGGGTGGCAGCTCAGCTCCATGGTGTCCCCACTGCCAAAGACCAGCTGCTCCTGCTGGCTGGACTCAGGCTCCGGGACCTCTGCAGGGGAAACAGGCAAACGTGAGGCCACAGAAGGCCCCATTTTTACCCTGATTTTACAGACACCCGCAGAGGCCACAGCAGGCAGTGTCTGGGGCCTGGAGTGCCGAGGCCTCTACCAGAGAGAAAGGCTCAAGCCAGCGGCCAGCAAACTGTTCCCCCAAAGACCCAGACAACCAGGGTTTCCTGCTCTGCCACCCAATCTCTGTCACAACTACACAACTCTGTCACTGTAACACAAAGCAGCCACAAAAAATAAAGTTGCCATAGAGTCAACTGTGACTTAGGGAGATCCCATGTGTGTCAGACTAGGCTGTGTTCCATAGAGTTTCATTTCTTTCCTTTTTTTTTAAATGATAATTTTATTGTGTTTTCAGTGTAGGTTTACACAGCAGTTTAGGTTCCCACTCAGCAATTTCTACACAAGCTGTTCGGTGACATTGATTATATTCTTCACAATGTGTGAACATTTTCATCACTTCTGTTCTGGTTGTTTCATTTCCATTAATCTAGTTTCCCTGCTCCCTTACATTCTCATCTTTATTTTAAAATAATTGTTGACCACTTGGCCTCATATAGATGATTTTTTAAAAGAGAACAGGACTCACGGATAATATTATTTTCTGAGCCAATCTGTTATTTAGCTAAAAGGTGACCTCAGGGGCTAGTTTTGGTTCAAGGTTTAAAGAATATCTTAGAGCAATAGTCTCCTGGTGTCCTCTAGTCTCAGTCAGTCCAGTAACTCTCTTTTTTTTTTTAAGAATTTGAGGTTTCTCCCAGAACTAGAACAATTTCCGAGGCCAACTCTTCACACAGGGATTGGACTGGACTGTGGGACATAAAGTGATACTCGTGAGGAGTGTGCCTCTTAGTCAAGTAGATATAAGAGACCAAAAGGGCAGCTTCTGTCTAGAGGTGAGATGGGAAGGCAGAGAGGGTTAGGAGCCGGTTGGATGGTCATGGGGAATCAGGGGCGGAAAGGAGGAGTGTCCTGTTGCAGAATGGGATGAGCAATTAGGGTCTCATAACAATGTATGTATAAAAATTTTGCATGGGAGACTAACTTGAAATGTAAACTTCACTTAATTACAACAATTAAAAAAAAATGCATTAAATTAAAAAAAAAAAAATTTGAGGTTTCGTTCCAAATTTTTCTCCCATTTTATCAGGGTTCATCTGTTGTGCCCTGATCAGAACGGTTGGGCGCCATCTAGTTATCCTTGTCTCAGGGTAGATGAGGCCGTGCTTTGTGAAGACCATTAGTCCTGTAGACCAGTTTCTTCTTTAAGAGTTTTTGGTTTCCTTCTTTCTGTTTTGATCCTAATGAATAATCCAGACAGTTTTCAATAGCTGATTTTTCAGAAGTAGATTGCCAGGGCTTTCTTTCAAGGCACCTCTGGATAGACTTGAACGGTCAACCTTCAGTTAGCAGCCGAGTGCATTCACTGTTCTCTCCACCAGGGACCCCGAAAGCAGCCCTAGACAATATGTAAACAAATGGGTGTGGCTGTGTTCCAATAAAATTTTATTTAGGGGCACCGATAATTGGATTTTATATAATTTTCACGTGCCATAAAGTATTATTCTTTTGACTTTTTCCAACCATTTAAAAACGTGAAAATCGTTCTTAGCTCACGGGCCGTACAGAAGCGGGCAGTGGGTGTAGTTTGCAGACCCTTGGCTTAAATGGGGGCAATGAGGCTGGATTAACAGGCTGAGGGCAAGCGCTGCCTCCTCGGAGGGGAGATTTACCCCAGGAAAGGATGGTCCTCAGAGTTCCCCACCCTAAATCCTCGTATTGGCGTCAAAATCAGCTCTGGAAGAGAGGGAACAGATGGCCCTCTCGGCAGTGTTGTTGTTGTTCTTGTTCTTCTTAGCTGCCTTCAAGTCCAGCTTCAAAGTCAGCAACAATGTTGCTGAACCTCCAACACCATTATAAGCAGTAGCAATTAATACACCCCACAGGGGTCTATTTGCCTCAAGTTGGGAGTAGGGCAGAGAGGGGGTTCAAAGCAGCTGATGCTCTGTACTCTGGGGTGGGATGAATTGACACAACACCCCCAGCTGCATGTGGAACCCCAGCATCTTACATGCAAAACACATCTCAACAAAGTCTGTTGGAGAAACCACACACGAAGAAACCCCAAAACATAAGTAAACAGATGGCCAGGTTGGGCCACTAGGTCTCCCAGGGCCAGGTGGTGGGCAGGCTTCTGCCTGCAGGAGCCCTGGGGCCCCCATTTTACAGATGAGGATGCTGAGGCTGGGGGAGGAAGCCAGTGAGTGGGGAGAACAAGGAGCCCAGATGGCCTCACCCTGCAGGTGCCAGGAAGATGGGGTGAGGGTTATCACCAAGAAAGGATGCATGCTGGTGGCCCCCTGGCTCCTGGAGGACCTCCAGCAGCACCCAGCACCTCCTCCAGCTCAGCTCCTGAGGGGCCACTAGGGCCTGGTGGAGAACGGGGATGCACCACCCGTGGGGCTGACCGTCCCCCAGGCCTCCCTGCCAGGGCCAGACAATGACCAGTGAAGGCGGGCAGCCTGGGCTCGGGGCCCGGGACAGGGGTGGGTGGTCCTGCCTGGCGGGCCTCCTTCCCCAGGCCCAGCTGGGCCAGCCGAGCCCGTCACTTGTCATTCTGCCTACGCGTGGCCTAGATTCCAGGGTTCAGCTGCCCGCTCTGGCCACCAGTGTCTGGCTCCCCTGACGGGCTGGATTCTGCCCATCCCGCCTCGGCCAGCCCCACATCCCCGCCACCCATCGGGACCCTGCCAGCCAGAAGGGCCCACACTCATCCCGGAAGCATCCACAGAAGCCCGTGTCCCACGGGGACACACAGCTCAGGGCTGGCCCCTGCAGTGACCTGGTGGTGAGGGGCTCTAGCCTGACATTCAGCCCTCCAGTCCTGGCCGCTGCATCCACTGGGGACCACCCAGCACCAGGTGCTGCTGGAGGCCCCCCAGAAGGCCCGGAACAGGCTGGTCGTGGCAGCCTCAGCCTCAGGCCCCAGCCCAAGGGCAACAGCCGGCCAGTTCCGGTTTGGTCTGGGTGGCGATGGTGGGTCAAGCCGTCTGCACAAGTATTTGCTTCAACCTGGTCCAGTGAGGGCCTGGGGCCTGGGCTGTGGGGCACAGAGTGGTCCCCCTGGCCAGCCAGGCTAGGCAGCCACCGACTGCTGGGGGCGGATGGGAGGAGAGCAGGGCCTGCTGAGCTGGGGGAAGGCCCTCTGCTCAGTCAAGGGCCGACCCCTGCTGCTGCCACCCACCTTGCCCCACTAGCTGCCATAAAGGCCAGGAACCCCCCGGGGGGCGCTGGGTAGACAAGAAGTGCCATCTACGCCTCCTGGCCATACCACAAGGCCCGCCCCGAGCCAGCTCCGGGGGTGCACAGGTGAACCCGGGGGAGATCGGGCAGGGGGATGGCTGAGTGGAGAATGGTGTGGGGAGTGGGCGCCAAATGGGCCAGGGTCTGGCTGTACCTGGGGAGTTCCCACAAGGCCCCCGGCTCCAAGCTCCCATCTGGCTGCCAGGTCCCCATGGTGCTCTCTCCCCCTCGGCGGTCCCAGAAAGGGGTCTTTCTGGATCAGCACAAGAGGGAGGCACTGCCCACGTCCATACAGGAACTGGTACCCACGCACATCAAAGAGGCGGGGAGTGGACAGGGGCAGAATAGTCCATACCTGCTCCTGCCTGCACCCCAACCGGGCTGAGCTTCTAATAGGGTGCTGGCACTACCCAAGGGTGCTGTGTCCTAGAGGGGCCACGTTGGGCTTGGGGAGGCATGAGGAAGAGGTTAGGGGCCCAGTGCATCCAGTCATAAAGTCTTCCTGACACCCACTGGCCTAGGTCTCCCATACTGGGTCCAGGGCAGTAAACTCACCTGGCAGGGCTGCTGAGGGCTGGGGGCCGAGGGGGGCTGCCGCCACTGTTCAGGGTAGCCAGAGAATGTGCAAGTGGGGGACGTGAAGGGGAGAGACCCTGACAGCCCTCATTCCATGCCCTGGGATTGACAGCCGGAGCCACTCTGCTCAAGGGGCCAGCTCCCTGCCATGGGGAAGCTTCCTCCTAGTTCCAGAACACCACAGTCGTGTGCCCCCGATGCAGCAGGTGGCACGGGGTGGGGGGTAACGCTCAAACCAGTAAACAAGTTGCCATCGAGTCGACTCCAACTCATGGGACCCTCAAGTGTGTCAGAGTAGAACTGTGCTCCATAGGGGTTTCAATGACTGATATTTCAGAAGTAGATCACCAGGCCTTTCTTTCAAGGCACATCTTGATGGACTCAACCGCCCACCTTTCAGTGAGCAACAGAGCTCTTGACCATTTGTAACACCCAGGGACTCCATCAGAGGAGCCTTAAACATCAAAGCATCACGTTTACCGGTGATGCGTATGAAAAGCGCTTCAAACCAACCCACTGGAAAGACTGCGTAGACCAGGAGCCGCCAACCAGAAAGGATCTGGGTCATGGAACAGAAGGATCCTGTTCTTAGGATGCACATGAAGCTCTAGAACACGTAGCTAGGTCCGTGCTTTCAAAGAGTCTGCAAGGAGGGGTGCCACAGCACTGACCCCACGGCTCACACCGGGAATGCGGCAAAGTTTTGTAACAATGGGGGGGCAGAGAGGTATCCGGAGGCTGGGCGGGCTAATGAGGGTTTACCGGGATTATCCAGCCTAATCCTGCCTACAAGCCTGCAATTATTTCTTCTCCAGGACAGGTGAAGAAACTGAGGCTCAGAAAGTGTACCCAGAGGGCGGTCGTCAGCTGGCAGCCTCCAGCCACTCCCGGCCTCACAGAGCCCTGTCAGGGCTGGGGTCAGGGAGCCCTACCAGCCAAGGGGAGCTGGCTTCAGGGCTCATTCACTTGTAAATCACTCAGGTCACCATGCCAGGGAGTTTGAAGGGGGCCCTCACAATCTGTGCCTGGGGGCCACTCTGGTCCCACCTACCCAAGGAGACCCCAGGGCCCAGAAGAGGCCCTAACTGGGAATGAGGGCATGGCGAGGAAGGGGTGGACAGGGGAGTCTCGAGGGCCTGACAGGGGGCTCAGAGGCCAGAGGCTCAGCCCAAATGCAGCCTCTGGCTCCGCCCAGGTTAATAAACCACCCAGAGGCCCTCCGGGCTCAAAGTCCAGTCACAGCTGCCCCTGTGGAGGGGGTTGGGGGAGACTTCAGGGAGCGCCTTCCTGAGAAATGCCCTGGGCCCCTCCAGAAGCCACTGGGGGTGGGATCTGGTCAGACTGCAGGGGGAGTGCCTGCCATCAATCTGCAACTTGGGGTACAGGCTGGAGCAACTTAGGGTCCACCCGCAGGCCCCCCACAGTGAACACCTCCCCATGTCCAGACAAGCTGCTCTGGCCAGGCTTAGAGTGGCCAGGGTCATCCTGCCCATCGGCCACCACCTGCCCGAGCGCCCTTGACCCCAGCCAGCTCTGGCTCCAAGATTTATGTTCCCCGGGAAAGCGCCAGCCCGGGCCTCTGTAAACTTCACGAGGTCTTTGTATTTTTACTGCCCGGCCCATCTCGTTAAGGAACCGGATTAAGTTTATTGACCTATCAACTCCCTACCTGTTTCACCAGCTTCAATGCGGGGGCCGGAGGCCCAGACACAGCAGCAGAGAGGGGGCGGGGCGGCCTCTGTCCGCGCCCCAGAGGGGCCTCATCTGCTGGGGGCAGTGGCAGGCTCCCCAAGCTTTGCGCCGCCGGGGACAGGGCCTCGAAGGCGCTGCCCTTTCTCGGTGGTGGATGGAAGGAGGCCCCTGCCCAACCCCCGCCGCCACAGGCGGGTCCCAGCGAGGGTCTGGGCCCTACCCCGCCCGCCCCTCCGCCGAGGCTACTTGACATTCCCGGGCCGTAGGAAATAATATCTTCATCTGAATGCGAATGCTAATACGGGGCTCCCCCCGCGGCCGCCTATTCGGCGCCCCTGGAAGCAGGGGCCGTCCGAGCAGGCGCTAAAAGCGCGCGCTGACCTCCCGACGGCCTCTATCACACTACTGAATGACACGCACATTCAAGTGCCGGGCCCACTTTCATTCATAAAAAAATGACATTGTTCCGGAGGCTGCAGCCTCGGCTGGAGAAAGGGGCGCGGGGGGCGCGCGGAGGGGGCGGGCCGCCATCTGCCTCCTTCCTGCCCGCGACCGGCCGCCTCCCTGGCACACCGCGCCCGCGGCCACTCAGCTCACACCTCCCCACGAGGCCGCTTCGCCATCAATGCGCGGTCTGTGGCCGCGCCGGGGTACAAAGGAGCGGCTGTTCGGGGCCAGCCCGGGTGGGGCCAGAGCGCACCGGCGAGGGCCTCCCTGCGCGCCCCTCACCAGCCGGGCC